TTCCTGGGAGCATTGGCCTGTCTTTACAGGCGTGGCCCCACTTGCGACCTGCGCATCTGTTCTCTTCCATGTGACGGTTCATGAAAGCCCTCACATCTGGGCGAGATCAACTGCCTTCAGGTACCTGCCTCACTTTGCACTTGTCACGCTCTTGCCACCACCGCCCTCCCCCCGCCCCCAACCCTCATTCCCAAGCCCTGGAGTCCTGCGCCCCTGGCTCCTTCCTGCCCGTCTCAGTGGTCCTGAAGGCCAGCCCATCTGGTCCCTCATGCTTCTGCAGGCAAGGGGAAGTCTCTCGCCGACCCCATACTTCCTCCTCCTGCCCATGGCCTTGGGCTTTGATTTGCAGACAGGCTAGCAGGAGCAGCCCTGCGCCAAGCCCAGAAAGAAAGTCTCATTTCGATCTGGGTTACCAGACCTCCCAGTTCCAACCCAAGGCAACCCAACCGACCACCTCCTGCCTTGTTCGCCAGAGTCCTATAGGCCCTCTCCCCTCCCCCCGCCCAGGGGGAGTAGGGCAGGATGCCGTCTTACACACCTATCCCTTCCCCCAGTGCTGGCGGGCACCCGGTCTGGTTGAACCTAATCTCTGGGAGCTGCTGAAACTACAGAAACTTCAGCTTCACTTGGGCGCCGTCTGCCCTCCTACAAGACGGCTTGCCTACTGCAGTGATTGCAGTAAACATCGCGTTACTGTTTCCTAAACTACGTTTTTTTTCCCCCCTTTTGGAAATTTCTGCCGGCCGGCAGCACACTTGTAGGCCTGCCTTTAGCTTACACCAAGGACAACTGAGACCTCAGAGGTTTTGGAAAGCAAAGGAAAAGACGGGGTAAAACCATCCACGTAAATAAACATGGAGCAGGGCCCTCCAGGCGCTTCCCGGCGGCCGCAGCATGCGCCCCGCAGGGCGCACCAGAAATCCCGGCTTCCCTGTGCCTGAGGTTTGCGGCCCCAGCTCCGGCTGCGCACACCCGAGACGCTGAGAATCAGGCGTGATCTCGACCCAACTTCCCCACCAGGCAGTCTGAGGACCCTGGGGTCTTGTCTCCGAATCCGGAGAATCTGGAGAAGGGAAGGTGCGTACCAGCGGTTTTCATCCGTTCCACCTTCCCGTGACCTGCCACACTGCGTCGGCCCACTTTATAGCCATCTGGGAATTCCACACATGCCTTAAACGCCAATTACACACCTTCTTCAAAGGATACGTGCTTTGATTCGCTAAGAACATTAAGTGGGCCCGCGTCCTGGGGGCCTTTCCTTTCCGCAGCCTCAAGACTGACGCGAATGGGAAATGGATTCCAAGCGCCCCACCCGCACCCCATGCCACCTCTGGGTTCCATTTCGACTCTATCCCTGTTCTCTGCCAGTGCTGTCAGGACAGATCGATAATCCTCCTGCTGGAGTTTCTTAAGATTTAGGCAGCTATAGAACAAATAACCAAGTGAGACTTCTGCGGGATAAACTCGAGGGGGTGGCCATTAGGAAGGGACCCATTTCTGACTTGAGCTTTGCGCGCGCACTGTATTTCCACTTTTCACCGGTGTTTGGGCCACACGCTGGTTGACAATAGGGCAGAAAAACTCTGGAAACCTGTTCCCTCCGCCTCCCCACCCCCACCGCACCTGCGGGAGGATGAGAGGGGTTACTCCAGTCCCTCGAGTTCTGCGTGTCGCGTAGGGGGAGCCTGTATCTGCAACTGGCGTCCCGGAGCCTCGCTCTGCCTGACTCCGCAGCAGCGGCTCCTCTTGCTACCCTAGCTACTGCTGACACTTGGCACCGCGGACTCCAGAGCAGCAGCCAGATCTGGGTCTCCCACGCCTTCCAAGGTGTCCGAGGACGTCCCGGGACTTTAGCCCTGTCCTTGTGCCCGCCAGCCTAACCCGGCCCAGCTCACCACCCACGCAGCGAGGTCTGGCCCGCGCCCAACACAGGTGAAACCCTGGTTCTCCGTGGACTGGTATGTGGGTTTCTATGGCGTTTGTTCTGTTCCCCACCCCTGCCCCACTACACCCCCCCCCCCAAGCAGGTTTGTTTGTTTTTCTTCAAATTACAGATGCAGGGAAAACCGCCTGACATCATGAGAGCGGGATGGGGCCCTCACTCTGAAGGATTCCTGGGCAGGACTTCAAGTGAAATCATATGCCTGCGAACTTGATACCGGTCTACAGAAAATAACCAGCTCTGACTTGGCCAAACCGTGGAATGTGCAAAATGCTCCACTTACAAAAAAAAAAAAAATTTTCATGCAAGAATCTGACTGTCCCTTAAAAACCTGCCTTTCGACCAGGGGCCTGAAGACTGAAGGGACAGGCAACGCTTGGACCTTTGTAGACCTCGGCGACAAATCGCTTAGCAAACTCTATTTTGCATTAATTACCCGCGCCACCTGGTATACCTGTCCTTGCGTCAGCAGCGCGCGTGTTTGCCTCTGTTCATACAAACAGGGGAATGTGGACACACCAGAGCCGAATGAATCGCCTTCCCCTCACTATTCAGTAGAAGACAAAGTGACTGCACCATCCGGGAAGCCAAGTGTTTTAGTAAAATAGGTTCCTTTAGTCCAGGCGCCCTGGCTGAGGGGTTGTGAGCGCGCCCAGCCACGGGACAGATGGAAAGCTGCAACTTGCCGCTTCTGAATCCTGATCCCGGTAACCTCACTCTGTGTGCTGGTTCTGTAAGGGCAGGAGGTGAAATCAAAGAACTGTAGGGAAAGGACAGACACCTCCTTGCTAGCTGAAAGAAGTGCTACCTGTTAGCCGTCCGGGTGAAACCTTGGGGTTGTATTCTGGCAGTTTCTGTTTTGCCGGGAACTCTTGCCATTTAAAGTACAACTCTTTCCCTCACCTTGTAATGATTCATTTGTGTATTTCTCTGTAATTGTCGGGAAAAATATTGCCCTTGATTTAGTACTTCATATCACGTGATTTGCCTTTTTTCTTCCCCGCTTTCTTCCTAAGTGTTCCCTCTTACAAAAAATAAGAGGTGCTTGTGGGGTAACAGGGTAAAACACCAAAAAAAAAAAAAAAAAAAAAAAAAAAGAGGCAAATAGACTTTGAAACGTCTAGTTGCTGCTGTTATTAATATTAAATGCAGAGTTAAGATAGCATTTACCTTCTCTGTAATGATGGTCATCTCCATCCTGGTGTTCCTGCAGAAATCTGAAATATCAAATAGTTAGACCAAACTGGTGAACAGGGACCTGCCCCAGGAGCGATTCGGAAATTGAAGGCGGATGATATTCTTACAGGAGAATTAACATCCTGGTCCTCTCATCTGCCCAGGACACTCTTCAAACATGTCTACCCTATACACACATGTACGCCATAAACCCACCCACAGATCCCGGAAATACGCTCACCCATAATCACCCTCCGTTTTCTTATTTGGTAAAGGATTATTTTAAAAATCCCACCAAGATCCCAGTAATCTTTGAGCGTAAGTAAATGTTACCGACTCCTTGCTGAAACATATGGTCTAAAGTATGCTTCATAATAAATTCACAACATTGGAATGTCAGCATTCTATGGGGCCCTGTACAATGGAAATAAAAAACCTTCTAGTAAGAAAACAACCTCTATTTGAGGCATGCAAACAGCATCTGTTTAGACTCATGCATTTGTCAAAGTCATCATCCTGTGAGTTGAGACACCAACATGATTGTCCAGTATGGAACTCCCCTAACTGCACCTGTGTACAGTAAGCTGGATGTGAAAGTAAGGAAACTGGTGATGAAAATCCCTGTTGGTAGTGACCTTAACCATAAAAGCCAGTATGTTTTTGGCCCAGAATAATCAGAAGGAAATAAAAATCAAGCACCGTTTGCCCGTTGTATTTATTTGGTTTCATCTCTGTGTTTAAAGAGGGAAAGTTCTGTGTAACTTTTGGGCATAGATACATTTGTTCATGACCTAACTAGAAACAATAAGTTGCAATTTTAAAATTGTAAATTACTTCAACAGTTACCAAGAAAGTTCAGGTTCACTGTTTGTTTTTTTTTTTTGTTTTTGTTTTTTTTTTTTTTGTCTTTTCCTAAAATCTTTACAGGGAGCGCTGAAAATAGATAACATACTAAGTGCTATTTCTTTTTAGTGGATAGAACACTCCAAAATGTGATATTTATCCGTACAGTCAGAGGTAAGTAAACAGCGTTCCTCCCGCCTAATTAATCAAAAGGAACGTTATTCTTTTGCATGCACTTGCTATTCGCGTATGTGTATACAGACCATTACTGTCAACATTTTCCACTTTCAGGAAAACGAACCTACTATTAACGAACCCTCGAATCCTCGCAATGGAGTGGCCAAGACGAAACTACACAGCAACAATAGAAAAGAATTCCGCTTCCATCCCGCGTGTCTGACAGTGTTATATGGCGGCTACCACCTCCAAATGTTAGTGAGCAAATCTGTGAAAATATGGCTATCTGGGCCTTGACAAGGGCTCGAAGAGATGCTGGTGAGCCCACTAAACGGCAAGCTGGAATAATAAGAAAGCTATCTTTTGAAATAGCACGCCTGTGCCTGTCAGTAGCTGGTTTATTTGAGTTTTCCACTGCTTTGTTTATATTAGTGCTCAATCCCTCCTGGGTGCCTCTTACAGTTCAACAAGCAGGTATTCACCACCCAACTGACTCCTGTGCTAAAAAAAATATAGACCAAACTCTAAAGTTCTTAAAATTTTCAATCATATTTATTTATTGCAGAAAAATAATATACAAAGATTATTTACAAAAACAATCATAAAAATATGAATGCATTTAGACATCGGATCTATCTGCATTTTTTTTACCATGGGTCCTCAATAAATAAATAGAATGTTGTTTTTTGTATTTTAAGGTTTTTTTTTTTCCCTCAGAGGAAGAACAAAAAAAAAAAAAAGTGGAATTCACTGACTATGATCTCCGCAGGCCAGTTTGATCCCAGTATATATTTATAGATATTTAAATTCCTAACGATGCTCTGAGAATTCCTCTGACGGTGACCTTTTTAAAATGGAGGAAAGTCCGTGGTGAACCCCTTTCTTCCAGTGGCTGATGGGCACGACCTCTCGATAATGCATGCATGAAAAAAAAAAATAAAAAACATTCTTCGTCAAAAAATAAAAAAAAATTAAAAAAAAATCCAAAACACACAAAGGAACACAAATAACGGTTCAGACTTCTATCAGAATGTGGAGGATGGTGCCGCGGCCCTTGTGGCCATCGCTGTCCACCGGCCTGTCTCAAGCTTTCTTTTTTAAGAGTGCGCCCCACGCCCTGCTGCTTTGATTTTGGGATCTCGGCTCTTCTAATGTCCAAGAGAATCTTTGGCCTGACACAGTTAAGTGTTAGTTATCCAGCTCCAGAGTCTCTAGACTGTCCATCCTGTCCTCCTCTGGAAGCAAGGACATCTGCAAAAACCCAGAGAGGAGATGGGTAAGGGGGTGGGGGGAGTCCATTATCGCCGAGTTCTCTGCGGCCGCAGCCTCAGTCCGGCGCGCACCGCCACCGAGCACTGCGCCGCGCAACCTGGAAGGATTTCAGCCCCGGGGCAAGAGGAAGTGGGTGGGCGGAAAGGAGGGAGGAGGTGGAATTTGGAAACGTTTGTTTTCGGGAGAAGAACGAAATTTGCAAGGCGAAAACTTAAGACAGGCGCTGGCACCGCAGGGGCTGTCCCGCGACTCTCCCGGCCTTTTCGCGGTCTCTCCGCTCGCGCACACCCACGCACGTGTACATCCCCTGGGGGTACCCTCTCCCCCTCCCCCACAATAACGCATTTCCCCAGCTCTCCAGCCGGGGTCCAAAGGCTCCCTCCAAGGGTGGACAAGGGGAGGGGAGGCTGCGAGGAGAGCAGGAGTCCGGCGCTCGGCGAGACGGACAGGGGACAGCGGCCAGCCGCGAGGCGCAGAGGCGCAGGTCCTTACCTAGGTCTCCGGCCCTGCCGCGGGGGTGGGGAGCTCCGCCTGCTAGTGGGACGCGGACATGGACCAGGCCCCCTCCATCCTCCAGACAGAGAAGGCGTAGCTGAGTCGCTCGTGGGCCACGTAGCTGCAGCTTGCCATCTTGGAGTCCAGCTCGTCGCTCTGCAGGACCTGGTAGAGGAAGTCGATGTACCTGGCGGCCAGCTTGAGGGTTTGGATCTTGCTCAGCTTGTCCGAGGGCAGCGTGGGGATGATCTTGCGCAGCGCTGCGAACGCCTCGTTCAGCGACTGCGTGCGCTGGCGCTCCCGCACGTTGGCCATGACCCGCTGCGTTTGCAGCTCTTCGTAAGACTGCGGGCTCCCGCCGCCGCTGCTGCTGCCGCCGCCGCCTCCCGAGCCGCCGCCGCCGCCACCGCAACCCGCAGACTTCTTGCCTCGCTTGCCCTGGGCCGGGCTGCCGGGCTCATCGCCGCCTCCGACGCCCCCGCCCGCGGCCCCGCCGGGCCCCGCGCCGCCGCCCGCGCTGCGCCGGCTGCTGCGCCGCTTGCGCCCCCCGCGCTTGCCGCTCGGCGGCTGCTGCCGGTCCGGCTCCTCCTCGCTGTTGCTCAGGCTGTCGTCGGCCGGCGAGACGGGCGAGCTGGACACGTCCTGCATCATCTCTCGGGCGGCGACGCGCGGCCTCGCGCGCCCGGGGCACACAGGGTGGGAGGCGGTCCGGAGGAGAGGAGCAGAGCGGGGCGCTTCAGCCCGCCAGCTTCCCCAGCGCGCGGCGCCGGCCCCGGGCGGTGCGGCCCGGCGAGAAGCGAGCGGGAGGAGCGAGCGGGAGGACCTCCGCGGGGAGGACGCGCGCGCGCGCGGGGGCGGGCGGGCGGGGGAGGAGGCGGGCAAGAGGCGGGCGAAGGTGGGGGGGAGGGGACGGTGTGGATGGCCCCGAGGTCCAAAAAAGACGGCGCCCCAGCGGCCGCCCGCACAGCCGGCTTGGCCTCCTGGAAACCCGGCCGGTGCTGGCGAACCCGCGAGGTGTCTGAGAAGTTGGGCGAAAGCTGCAAACTTGGCGGCTCTTATACCTCCGCACAGGCGGAAAGTTTGGGGGCAGCAGTGTCATTGGCCTGACGTTGGGGAGGAGGGACTTTTCCAAGTTTTATAGGAAAGTTTCCGCTTTCCAGCCCCCTCCTCCAGCCCTGCCCCCTACCCACCCCCCACCCCCCCATTCCTTCGGGTCTAACAATTCGTCCTCCCGAACCATTCAAAAACGCCCCGGCCCCCGACCGCCGGCCGCTGCGCCCGCCTCCTCGCCGCCCGCCCCCTTCCCTCTCTGCCGGCCGCGGGGCGGTTTCCTTCCGCGCGGAGACGCGTGGGTGGCGCGCCCCGCAAACCCCGATCGCCGCACTGGGAAGCGGCCGAGGGGGCTCGGTCCCGTCTGCCAACGGACGGTTGGCTGTGACAGCGATGGTGGCAGCGGCTTCCACTCAGTGGGTGATACCTCATCTGGCCTCGTAGCCCGTTAGGTCCTCGGGGACCCGAGGCGGATTGTCGCGGCGGTGGGTGGGGGTGGGGAGTGACCCGAGAGACTGTCACCCGCTTAGCCCCCCCCCCGTGTAGTTAGGTACACGGACCCTCCAGCTCTGGACATACACGCCCCTCGAACCGGGTCCTAGGGCCAAGCCTTGGCGGGCGCGTCGCAGGAATCGTGGGCGTTTTCTTTGGAGACGTGGCCGAGCCGCCGAGGCTGCGGACGGCAGCGCCCCGGCCTGCATCGCCACCCCACCCCTACCCCAGCAGCGTTCTTTTCAGGTCCCCAACCTGAACGCTGCCCCGGTCTCAAAGGACTGCGCCCCGGAAGCGGACAGAAATTGTTCCTCCCACGCCGAGGGACGCCCTCCCCGTGGGGACGGGAACGGGGCCGGTGCAGTGCCTTGGCCGCGCGCGAGGCCTTGATCGCCGCCAGCCCAAGGTGGAGCGTGATCCTGTAGCCACTGCTTCACCACCACCCTGCCCTCGAGTTTGATTCCGCACGGTGAAGGATCGTGAGGTGGGGGTGGGAGCGAGGGGAGGCGGGATTCGCCAGCGCCTGGGCACCCGGCCCTGCGCGCCCCCAGGGCCTCGCTGCCCAGCCCCCTTCCTTGGAGGTTCTGCGGGCAGTGTTGGGTCCCACGGCCCACATGCACGGCCGAAACTTGGGACAACTTTGCGTTCAAAGTTTGCCCCAACTCTAAGAAGTTAGAATAGGAGCTCCCCCTCCCCCCGAGAGATGTTAAGGCAGACCCGGGGACCTCGGAAGCCCCAAGAGTTTGTGGGCGGGAAGAGAAACGGTGGTGGGGGGTGAAGCCCACCCTGGTCTCACTGTGCGGGTCTCTTTTCTTTTGGAGCGAATCAGGAGCAATAACCGTTTGGTGTCCTTAGAACCACAAGTCAACCACAGGTCATCTGGTAGTCAGGGTTCGGGGGCGTATTGTTTTAAGGAGTGGGGTTGTGGGTGTGTGCCCGGAGCCCAGAGCGGGGGCGGGAGAAAACCCCTTCCCTGGGGCTGAGGTCGGCGCTCGGAGCTCCCCTCACCAGACGGCTCTCTGGCTGCAGGCGAGCCCTGGGCACGCACCCCTTTCCCGGCTGCAGCGAGGGTCGCGGCCGCGGATGTCCAGGCGGAGGAGGCGGGAGTCGCGGCGACGCGCGGGCGGGCCACGTGGCTGTGCCCCGCTGCGGCGGCGCTGCGCCTGCGAGTCCGAAACTTAGGGGTCTGCAGCGGCGGCTTGAACCCCAGCTTTTTGTGTTTTTCTTTAGTGGGGAAGCATGGGGGAAAGGAAGTGGAGAGTCGGAGCTGTGTGTCTCCTGCCTGGGGTAGGCGCTCCCTGTTCTAGAGGAGGGAGACCTGCATTACCAACACCCTGAAGAACAATGCCCTGTGCGTCGGACCGGCCTGCAGCCTGAGCCCCCACCCACTCCCGCCCCCGATGCCAGATTTTTTTTTTTTTTAACCTAGTGATGCTTTCCCTGGCGCTTGAGAGCAGATTTCACTTGACCTGCACTTGATTTCCACGCGGCTTCCCACGGTTCTCCCAACGGAGTCACCCTTGGGCGGTTGCCCTGCCGCCTTGCGAGCCTCCTCGGTGGGGGAAGCGGTTCCAGAATCTGGCCCAGATCCTGCTTCCCTTGGTAGCAAGCGTGGTTCTTTTTTTTTTTTTTTTTTTTTGTCTGCGAATTGGCGGAACATCCTTCGGTGCTTCATCAGGTGACTGAGCAAGCCGAAAAGCATCCACGTTGGCGACCTGGATGCTGTGGTTGTTGTTTAAAGATCAACCCTTAAGGCTTATTTTGTTTGTTTCGTTTTGCTATTCTTGTTTTTATATCACCCCACACTCCTCTTTTAGCTGTTTTCTCAAAACTAAAGAGCTCCAGACTGTGCTCGGTGGCAGCGGGTGTACTACCAGAGAACCGTGGGCACCGAGTAAGGGGAGGCTACCTGAGTGGGGCGAACTGGAGAAGCGGAGGAGGTGGGAGAAGCAGAGGGGAAACCCAGGCCACAGGCGCGCGGCAGCCGCAACCGGGGGTCATTAGCCAGCCCGACTTGCAAAGTCATCAATCTCCAAGACTAGTTCTTAAACAAGTCGGCCTGGCCCTTCTCCAGCCCTAACCTTCTGTGGGGATCAAGAGCTCCTGGCCACTGGGTACAGGACCTTTCCCCGGCTGAGAGAGTTCTTAGAAGAGAGTTTGAAAATGAGTGCCCTAAAACCGGAACCATCCTGGCCACTGAGTCTCCCGGGGGTCAAGACTAACGATCTGAGTTTGTAGGAGAAATTCCCTTTGGATACTTTGGAGGCGTGCAAGAGAAGACTCCTTTTAGAAGTGGGGATTGGATATCTTTGATTAGCAGGAGGCAGCTTGCGCGATGAATGAGGGCTTGGGAAGGTGTGAGGGTTTACACACCCCCAGCGTTTAAACAGCAGCTCCAGGACTCACCCTGGCCCAGGGTCTGCTCTGCTCACGTTCAGCTGCCTCCCACCTTGCATCTTAATGAACAGCTTTCCCTTGCATTGTGTGCTGGGGAAAGATGGAGATTTCATACTGTTCGGATTAAGATAAGAAAGCACACTTCATTCTAAAAAACAAAACCAAACAACCCCCCCCATCCCAATTTCAAAAGTCTCAGAAAGTCTTTTTGAACTCAGCCTACATAGGAAACTGTCAATGGAGGGCCTACCTTCTATGGGAATGCTAGATTAATTGGGATACCACCCTTTTTGTTGTTGTTGTTGTTGACTTCTAAAATAAAATACCTGGAAAAAGTTTTAGTTTAAACTTTTATTTTTCCTCTGGACTTGAATCATTATCCAAGACAAACTTTGTTTACAAACTATGAACTTGGCGTGTTTACAGTGTTTCCTGGGGAGATGTGTGTTCTGCTATTTAAAAAAAAAAAAACAACAGGGGGGAAATATTGTTGGAAGTGGCAGAAATCGCTAGCACATTCAGGGTGAGTATGACTGGAATCAGACACTGGCATTCTGCTTGCGGCCACCAGTTACACATGGCGTAGTCATAGTCAGGAAGCCGCTAGTTTGGGGAGTTGAAGTTTGCGCAGGAAGAAGGTGGTAGTGTGTGTGCCTGTCTCAGCCGTGCACGGAGCTACCTGCCGCGTATGTTTTAGTGCTGTGAAACCAGCTCTCCGAACCGCGCCGATGAAGCAGGGGCCTCTTCGCCCAGAAGAGGGCGCAGTTTGGAGCCTGCCGCTGAATGGGTCTCAGAGATTGAAATCACTGCATCTTGCTCCGGACACTCCCCCAGAAACTGCCCGGTTTGCTAAAGACAAGAGAGGAGGTACTTGCTGTGGAATATGAAGCCTGTGTCAGCGCGGGGGACTTCCACAACCTTGGAAAAGCAGATTCGACTGTGATCCAGCTCACCTCCGAGATGTCTGTGAAACACTGGGCTCTGAAATAAGACTTCACTTTCTTCTCTGAATAATGCTTTAACTCAGGAGTTTTAACTGATGCTGCTTTCTCTTTCTGGATTTCTTTAAGAATAAAAGATATGAAATGCGAAGATTTTAACCCAGAAGAAAACGGGAAACAACAACAACAGCAACAACAACAACAACAAAAAAAAAAAAACCAAAAAAACCCAGAAATTGGAGCACTTCAAGTGAGCCAAAACAGATCAGAAACAGGAGAAGTTCAAGTGAGCAGATAACATTTTCAAGTAAATACTGATTTTTAAAATATCTCACATTCAGGATTCAAAATGAGGATGGGATAAGGAAAGAATGGTCTAGCCTAAGGAAAGGCTGCCTCAGGATCTCGGACAACATAGGATCTTGAACCTTCTTACGCAAATGGCAGTGCAACCTAGGGAGCTGCTGGGTAAGCTTGTAGAAAGACTTGTGGGCCCAGCACTGTAGCCTACTGGCTAAGGTCCTCGCCTTCCTTGCCCTGGATCCCATGCAGGCTTCAGTTCATGTCCCAGTTCTTCACTTCCCATCCAGCTCCTTGCAGCCACTTGGGGAGTGAACCAGTTGAGGGAAGATCTTTCTTTCTGACGTTCTTTGTCTCTGTATCGGCCTTTCCAATAAAAATAAGTCTTGAAAAAAAATAGACTCACTTATTTCAGAGCCTTGCTGAAGTAACGATGAAATAAAGCGAGAAATACACAGTTACTCTTAAGGTTCTATCATGCGCATAATCATACTGCGAGGTAACTCTACTTTTTTGTAATCATCTGGTGGTAGACAACTCAAATGTGAATTGAACAAGTTTAGATTCTCTGTTATTTCAATTACATTTGGCTTTCTAATTACTCATAACTTTCACCTTTCTTCACTTTGTGGGGTTTTTTTTCTATTT